AAGAGGGGCCGGGGAGAAGAAATATATATGCACTGCAACATATGCACTGCTCGTGTTACTAGTATGTCTCCAATTACTCTCGTTCTTGTTCAACAGTAGCACCATGCTTGGATCTCCAAATTATTTTCTTTTATTGAGGGGACTTTTTTAATCCATTTCCATATTAACTTCATGGAAAGAGTTTTCTTTTTCATTTCACCTATTTATTATGCACAGTGAGGACCCTTCAAAATTCTTGAGGCACCACCTCGTGCAAGGGCCGGTATTCTGAGGTGATTTCTGTCCTCCTGGTAGGAAAGATTTTTAAAAATATTTTTTTTAAAAAATGCCTATTCTTTGGAGATTAACATACTATATATAATGCCATCTGCACTGCCAGATGTTCACTAAGCAAGCCAGATTAATTAGACTTTCCACCTAAGAACAGTTATCTGGGAGCAGACAAGTAAGCAGCTTCTCAGTTCCTCCTTGTGAGCCTGGTGTCCCCACTATAAGATCATTGATTTTCCTCTTGAGAACACAAAAGTCACCCTATTTCCTTAGTGAGTCTGCATTTTTAAAATTCTGTTTTCACTTCGTCATTATGGAGTACTGAATGTAGATTAACGAGCGGGAGGGAATTGAATTTCAACAACTCTAGAATCAGGCTGCCCCATAACAAAATAGACAAAAGTGAAGAGGGTCTGAATACTTTCTAAATGCGCTACAGGCCAGCAGACAGTTCAAGGCAAAATGGTATAAGCCTGAAAAGAATACACATTGTTTCCAATAATGAACTGTTCTGGAGCAGAAAATTTTAAAGTAAAAGCTGTAATTTCCCACCATTCCTCAGTTGATGTTCACCAAACTTTATCTGGTTGCAAGATTTCCCATGCCTGTTAAACCTGATTTGGCTGCAAAGCTATCCAGTGTCGAAGTGTGGTCTTTAAATGTGGACAGTGTTCAGGAAGAACACATTTCAGTAATCACTTTTGTGCTGCCAGCCCCATTAGGAATGCTAAGCCAGCAACCAGCTGTAGCACTCCTGCTCTGGGCCCTTCCAGACCATGAGCTTCCTCCACCCAATTCTTGAGAACATTGCATCTGAAAATAGAGCATAAACAGACAGGCATAATAAGAATGTTTGGCCATACCAAGAAATGGTGGGAACTAATGGGAATTGTTAGGATTTACCAGGATCAGGATTATACTCAGAAGAGTGTAAAGTCTCCTGGTATTTCAGAAGCAGTCTAGAGAGGTTTCTGGTCCGTTAAGGCCTCTGACTGTCCAATCTGTTTGTAGAACCTTTCTGAAACTTGACTGGATTGTTTCTGGTTCTCTCGCTTACTCGCTCCTTTAGATGCTGTCATCTAAGTAAGGTTGTTTCTGTTTGAATAAAACTTGGACTGAATTCACAGCTTAAAGATAAACCTCCTCCTCCTCTTCTTCTTCTTCTTCCTCCTCCTCCTCTTCTTCTTCTTCCTCCTCCTCCTCTTCCTTCTTCTTCTTCCATATCCATCATTGAACGTTGGCAATCATGCTAGCAATCTTATTTTTGTCAACAGCCACATGAAAAAGTGCTGCTGAGTTTTGTCTAAACCAAGCCCTTAGGTTTTGAAGCCATGCTGTTGTTCTTCTGCCTGGACCTCATTTGCCTTTCAATCTTTCCCTGGAGGATTAAGTGAAGGATGCCGTATTTTTCTGCTTGTCGCATCACCTGTCCAAAATACTCTAATGTTTGCTTTTTAATGGCTTTGATGATTTCCCTTTGCTTTCCCAGGTGGCTTATCACCTCATTTGTGATTTTGTCAGCCCATCTTATACGTAACAGCCGTCTGTAAATCCACATTTCAAATGCTTCTAGTTTCTTCCAGTGATTTTCTGTCGGAGACCAACTCTCCACTCCGTAGAACAGGATAGAAAAGATGTAACATCTGACAAGCCTGATTTTCAGTCTTAGGCTTATGTCGTGACTGCAGAAGACCTTTTTCATTTTGAAGAATGCTGTTCGAGCTTTCTCTATCCTTGTCTTTACTTCACTGATCATGTCTCAGCTTTCATGTAAATTAAAACCGAGGTATGTGGTCCTTTCAACTTTTTCTAGTGATATTCCTTCCAAATTTATCAGTGGTAAATTTATGGGTCATTTGCTGACGACCATGATCTTGGTTTTTGAGGTGTTAAGCTTCAAGATGTTTTTTCCAGATATTTCTGTGACTCTGTTGACGAGGAGCTGAAG